ATTTACACTGATGATTTGAGGCTGCTGCTAGTATTTTGCCCACTAAAATAGCTCATGGTGCCCTTGCTGGCGTAGCTCAGTGGATTGAGCTCGGGCTGTGAACCAAAGTGTCGCAGGTTCGATTTCCAGTCAGGGCACATGCCTGGCTTGCATGCCAAAACCCCCAGCAACCACACATTGATGTTTCTCTTTCTCTCTCTCTTTCTCCCTCCCTTCCCTCTCTAAAAATAAATAAATTAAATCTTTTAAAAAATGAAAATAACCTAAATATCCACCAACAGTAAATTCAGTAAATAAATATGGTATATCTATGCAATAGAACATTATTCAGCCATCGAAAAGAATGAAGCAAATCTATATGTGCAGATATAGTGTAATCTCAAGACACATTAAGCAAAAGCTCATAGCCCAGACGCACAGATGCTGTCCCGTCTGTACCTAGACTATCTCTAAGGGGGTGCGGACCCGAGAGGAGCTGCTGCCTCTGGGTGAGTGAGGAGCAGGGTTCTTGGGCAGACTACACTCCTCCACCCTTTTAATTGTGAACCAGGTGCTTCACATTTTTAAAAATAAATGAATACTTGAAATAGACAGGTAAAGAATGAATGCGTACAGTAGTGCATGGAGAATGAATATAATTCAATGTCAGGAGGCAATAGCAGGATACAAAGCCATATACTCTGCAATGCTGTCATTTTCTCCGCAAACGGGCAACAAGATCCCAAGAAGTCTTGTGTGTCGGGTTTTGTTCAGCACTTTTCAGTGTTTTCCAGCGATGATGGTGGTGGTGGTGGTGAAGGTGGTGATGGTGGTGGTGGTGGTGATGGTGGTGGTGATAATGGTGGTGGAGGTGGTGGTGGTGATGGTGATAGTGGTGGTGGTGGTAGTGATGGTGGTGGTGATGGTGGTGGTGGTGGTGATGGTGATGGTGGTGGTGGTGGTAGTGATGGTGGTGGTGATGATGGTGGTGGTGGTGATGGTGATGGTGGTGGTGGTGGTAGTGATGGTGGTGGTGATGATGGTGGTGGTGGTGATGATGAGAATGTCTACCCCCATCAACTACACCAGTCAGTCTATCCTGCGGTGTCCAGTGTTCTGGTCACCCCTTGGGTCAAACCTTGGGGACATGTGGAGAAAGCAGTAACTTTCCTCTCCCCAGGGAGCTGCCTCCCAACTTGCTGTGGGTGCTCACTGCCCTGGGCTCAAGTTTACCCCAAGCTCTTGCTGCAAACAATCTCTTCACCTCTACAGGGAGTTGGCCTCCTGGCCCCTTGGCCCCGAAGTTTCAGCATCTCCCAGGAGACCCCCGTTCAGGTGTCCCAAGGCCTCCCCCATCTCATCCCATCAGCGCCCAGCCTTCTGAGACCACGTGCTCCTCAGGGACCGCAGGTGGGGGAGGAGATCATTAACGAGGCCCCGGGGCTTTGGACCAAGGCAGACCCTTAAGTGGGCCCTGGGAAACTTATTAGGTAACCTCCCCGCTGAGGGCCCCGGGCCCTGAAGTGGGAGACCATGGGAGAAGAGGGGGGACGGCGTGGCGGAGTCGGTCTGCTCTCCGTTCTCTATAAAACGCTTCTACACTCTCCTCTCCCACCTGATTACTTTTGCCCGCAGAGGAGCTGACAGTCAGTGTGGGCCTTGAAGTGCGCGTAGACCTCCAGGTGCGGAAGGGGCCGTCTGCTGTGGGGACACGGGTGTGTGTGCAAGGTCAGGGAGAGCAGGGTGACGTGGCACCTCAGGTGGCCGTGTGGCCCTGGGGCGAATGGCAGGTGCGGCGGAGACGGTGAGGGTGGGGCCGGACAGGCACAGGCACAGCGTGTCGGCAGGGGGGTGGCTGGAGCCCGCACCCCTTCCAACCGCAACTCAGGGCCCCTCGTCCTCGCCCGCATTGGCTCTGTCCGGGTCTCGGGGCTTAGGGCTAGGACGGTGGGCAGTGGGCCCGGTGAACTGAGGAGCTAAGGAGGGAGTTGGGGCCGGAACTCGGGTCTGGCGGTCCTGAGTCCGGATGCCGCCTTTAAAGAACTTTCATATTCTGCTCTTTCTCCTCCAGGGACGCCACGGAAGGTGGCTCCTGCGGGGTCCGGTGCCAGGTCCTGAGCCCGGGGGTCCCTGATTCAGCAGCAGAGACCCGTGTTCGTCCCAGAGAGGGAATTCTGTGAGGAGGGAGCTTTAGGTCCAGGAGCCTGGGGCGCACGGGAGATTCTCTGTGTCTCCGTCTCTCTGTCTCTCTGAGGCATCGGAGACCCAAAGACAGAGGCGACTTGGGCAACATCACAGGCAGGACTAGGAACCAACCCTCCTGACGCAGCCCCCAGACTCCCCTGTTATCTGACGCCACCTAGAGCCCCACGACGAGGCAGGACGCGCCCCACAATGCACCGCACCCCCCGTCCCCCCAGTGCAAGTGGGCACTTTGCGCTGACACGCTGGTTTAACCGTAAGGAGCTGTTCTGCTCTGCACCCTGGTCACAGGTCCTTCTAAGACGCCGAGATCGGCGTCAGCCATGTCACACCTCGTCTGACGTCTCCCCCTGCCTGAGTCAGGGTTCTAAATGAAGCCCACGTCTCCCAGGTTCTCTGTGGGCTTTGGGAAACACCGAAGGATCTCTTGAAAAGAAATGGTCCGCTTTGGGGATAAACACGCAACCACAAACACAACTTTTGGTTGAACCGTAAAACACCAGAGCCGGAAGAAACCAGCCCTGGCAAAGACCCTGTGGCCCGACTCTGCTCTCTGACGGGCGAGGAGAGGGGCTCCGGTCCGTGCGCCCTGACCAGGGCTCCGTCACGCGGTCGGTGGCCGGGGGTGGCTGCGTGGCCACGACGCAGCGGCTGTGGGTCCAGGCTCTCTCAAAGTGACCTCGTGCCCTGCCAGCCTCCCGCAAGGAGAGGAACCGTCGGTTAAACACCAGCCTGGTCAGACAGTGTGATGGGCATCGGTGGGCGTCATTATGTCACGTAGGAAAGGCTTCGAAGCTGTGCTCCCACCGAGCCGGCTGCACTTGGATGGCCAGGTGCAGAGATGTAGACAACTCCCGTAGGTTTGGGGGCACAGGGCGCTGACCCTGAGGCTGGCTGACTACGTGCACCCCACCTGAGATGAATGGTCGGTGCTGAGGGGCGCATTAGGGGAGGAGCCAACGGAGGTTAGGGGCAGCGGGCCTTCGTAAAGGGTGAGCCCTCTCACTCTGGGGTCCCAGGGCCGGAAAACCGGGACACCACGGGGACACTTAGAGGAGGTGTACATCTGGGGGGAAATGAGGACTGAGTGACGAATTCCTTCGCTTACAGTAGCTCAGCAAACAACAAAGGGGACCCACACCTTTGTTTCCAGGGGACTGAGTTTAGTGGCGTTGCCACGACAACCATGGAAGGACGGGAGGTCACCAAACCTGCCCGGGGCACGGGAGTGTGCTCCCGGAATGCAGCCCGTGAGTTCAGCCTTGGAGGAGGAACGGAACTTTCCCAGCTTCCCCAGGTGACGTGGGGACGCTGGGGCGGGGGGGTCTCAGGAAATGGGGACAGGGTGTGGTGGGGCCCCCACCCCCACTCCCACTCCCACTCAGGCTGCGGTGCAAACGCTGCAGGAGACGAAGCGGGAAGTCAGGCGTGAAGGGCTGAGGGGCCGTGGCTGCTGCGCTTAGGACTCTGGGCTTTGCCCTAGAGGTTGAGGAGGGGCCGTGCAGCTCAGACCTGGTGCCCTGGTGTCCGTCGCTCAGAGGCACCCTTCCAGTCGGTGCCATGAAAAGTGACCGAAAGGAGCGGCTGGAGGCGGGGCACCCGGTGGAATCTGGGGTAACTCGATGCAGAAAAGAGAGAACAGAACAGTCGTGAGGGGAAAGAGGACCCGCTGCAAGTGCGGGGTGTTTCCGCGGCGGTGGCGCCCGTGGCGCCTGAGGGCGGGTGCAGAACTTCAAGTTCACCTGCAGGGGCGTCCTGGTCCCCACGTGGCCCTGACCAGCTCCGTCCACAGGGGCCGGGGGAGCTGGGATTGGAATAACGTGTCCAGTGGGGGACAGGCAGAATCGGAAGTGATGGTGGGACACGTGGGGGGAAACCTCGGGGTCTGCAGCCAGGGGGAGGACGGGTGTTCAGATTTAGGGTCTGTCCTCGGAGCTTCAGCCGCGGGGGTCGTTTTGTGTGAGGGGCCAGGAAGGCTGCCTGTCATCGTAACACGGAGCAGGGCGGGCCGTCTCCCCTGGTCGTTTCCCTGTGACTGAGTCGGAGAGGAACGACAGGCCCGGGAGGCGTCTGTCCCGAGTCCAGCAAAGGGGAGGAGGTGGAGGATAGAAGTAAACCAGGAGGCAAGGTCCAGAGCAGGAGGAGGGGAGCACACCGGGTCTATTAGCAAAGAGCCCGGAGGTGCCCGCCCCCCCGCCGCCCTAGTCCCCCCAGGAGTGGCTGTGCAGGGAGAGGTGGGGGCGCGGGTGGGGCTCTGTGCCTGGAGCCTCTCCGGCGCTCAGGCTCCTCCATCGCTGTGGCCGTCTGCAGGAGTGACCGGCCCCACCGCTCAGAGCCGGCCCACGCAGGAAGGAGGCTGTCGGGAGGAAATCGGGGTCCCTCCCGCCGCTTTCTCATCTCATCGCTGTGGGCTGGGACGCAGACCACCTGGCTCCGTAGGTACAGGTGAAGTGGGGTTTAGAGCACGGGAAGGCACTGGAGGGGGGCGGACAGGTGTACTGAAGACCCCTGAGCCCCGGGAGGCGTGCAGGGCCGGGGGGGGGGGGCAGAGGGAGAGCAAACAGCTGCTCTGCACGCCTGAACCCCTGGTGGGCGGCGGCTGTGGGAGGTGAGGGCGGACAGTACTGCATTTCAGAGAAGACCCTGAGTCCCTGGGAGGGGGCAGAGGGTGTGAGGGGCAAGGGGTGGCCCCTGGAAGGCTGGGCAGAGGGTTCCGAGCCCAGGAGAGGCCGAGGACGCACACTTCCCGGGAGGGTGGGTCACCCTGACCGTCCCCCCCCTCCCCCCAACGGCGCTCGTGCCCTCCCCCAGGGGCCGACATGAGCCATAGCTCGAACTGGACAGCCCCGCAGGAGTTCGTCATCCTTGGCTTCTCCGGGTGGCCCCAGTGGCTCCGGGTGCTGCTCTTTGCCCTCCTCCTGCCACTCTACCTGGCGACCCTGGCGGGAAACCTGGTAATCCTGGGCCTGGCGGTGGTGGACGCCGCCCTGCACACGCCCATGTACTTCTTCCTGGGGGCCCTGTCTGCCGTGGAGGCGGCTTACACGCTGGTGCTCACTCCGCGCATGCTGGCTGGCTTCCTCCTGCCTCCTGGCGGCCAGGCGGTGGCCCCCTCTACCTGTGCCGCCCAGATGGGCCTCTTTGTGGCGCTGGGTGGCTCCGAGTGCCTGCTGCTGGCTGCCATGGCCCTGGACCGCTACCTGGCCATCTGCCGCCCCCTCTACTACCCTCAGCTCATGACCCCGGGGCTCTGCTGGCGCCTTTTGGTTTCCTGCTGTGCTGGAGGCTCCGTCCTGGCCGCGGGCCTCACCACGGCCATCTTCCAGCTGTCCTTCTGCAGCGGCATGGTCAACCACGTCTTCTGCGACCTGCCAGCCGTGCTGGTATTGGCCTGCGGGAGCCGCGACCTTCAGGAGCACGTCCTGCTGGCAGCCTGCCTGCTGCTGCTGGTGCTGCCCCTGGCCCTGATCCTGCTCTCCTACACCCGGGTGCTGGTGGTCATTCTGGGCGTGGGCGGGGCCGCCGGCCGCCGGAAAGCCTTCAACACAGTGGCGTCGCATCTCACTGTGGCCGTGCTGCACTACGGCTGCGCCACGGTCATGTACGCCCGGCCCCTGCGCAGCCGCAACCTGGAGGAGGACAAGCTGGCGTCCCTCATCTACATCAACCTCACACCACTGCTGTACCCGGCCATCTACACGCTGCGCAACCGGGACGTGCAGGGCGCGCTGCAGCGCGTGCTCAGCCCCGGGACGCGGGGGACCGCCCACCAGGCTGGGGTCGCCTAATGCTGGACGCCAGGGGGCGTCTGTTCTGAATCTCCCTCACTGATTGACGGAGACCTCGCCGTCCCAGAGCCACCGATGGCTCCGCATGCCGCCGGGACAGAACCTGGAAAGCGTTTGTGGACCTTTGGAACTGGATGGGCCCGGCTCGGGGAGGGCCTCTGTGCAATGTAGGATGGTTAGCAGCATCGCTGTCTCTGCCCACTAGGTGGCAGTAGCACACACCACTCCCATGCTGGGACCGGCAAAAATGTCATCAGACATTATTGCCCAGTGTCCTCTGGGGGGCGGAATCACCGCCGGTTAGGAACCTCTGCTCCAAACTCGAGCCACAAAGTATCTTTTGAAGAGAAATGAGTGCTAATGCACAAGGAGTTTATAAGAGACAAAAACTTGAACACAATCCAAATGCTCATGGCCGTGATAGAGGCAAACAACGCACCGCATAGTCATGCGGCGGAATAAGACACGGCAACGAGAAAGACCGGCCTGCTGTTACCGGCCGAAAATAAGCGCAACAGAGACTCAATACGGAGCACAAGAGGATGGAGAGTGCATGCCGTACGCTTCCGCTGAAACACAGGCCAACATCAGCCCTGGCTGGTGCGCCTCACTGGATGGAGCGCCAGCCTGGGAACCGAAAGGTACGCAGTTGGATTCCCAGTCCGGGCACACGCCTGGGTTGCGGGCCAGGTCCCCAGTAGGGGGCGCCCGAGAAGCAACCACATATTGATGTTTCTCCCCTCTTTCTCCCTCCCTTCCCTTCTCTCTAAAAATAAAATAAAATTTAAAAAGCGAACATCATACTCATCTCAGCGGGTGTCCTGAGGGTGGTTCCCTGGGGAAGGACTGGACTGCAGGGGGCGCAGGGAGATTCCTTGCGCACTGGAAATGTTCTGTGTCTCGATTTGGGTGGCGCTTACACGGGTTTAGAGGTGTGCAAAACTTGTCCCCCCCCCCCCCCGCACCCTTGACTTTGGACTTCCCAGTCTCCAGAACCATGAGAAATGAATTTCTGTTCTTTTGTAAGCTGCTCAGTCTGGTATTTTGATACGGCAGCCCGAACAGGCTAAGACAGTACCTTTCCTTCCTCCTCTCAGTGACCGTCGTCACACGAAAAATATAATTTAAACACCTGCTCTCCATCCCACTCACCTAACCCCCCACCACCCACCCCACCCCACACAGTTAGATTGCAAGCTCTATAAAGCCAGATCTCGAACCCTATTCTTATATGTCAAGATCAATGACCTTGGCAGTTCTTACTAAATAGCTGACAGAGGAACACACCACGGACAAGCTCTGGGTGGTTTAGGGGCCACAGGGCCGGGGCACAGCTCAAGTCCTGCCAAGGGGAAGGATCTAGGAGATTGCATCCTCCCTTGGTCCCCTGGTCTGTCCCTCGGGGCATCAGAGCCAGCTGTGAGAGCCCGCCTTCCCAATGCACAGAGCCTCGGCAGCAACAGGGGGGTAGCCTGGCATAACAACCGTGCTTAGAAAACTTGAGAGCCCTGACTGTACCCCAAGGCCAGGGTCCCGGATTCCAGGGGAGGGAGCTGTTCTGAGAAATACACCCTGAAGGGTCCCTTCAGGAACGCAGTCTTGGAGGCAGACTCAGGGCTGGCAGATGCTGCCCCCCCCCCCGACCTGTTGGTGGGAGCAACCGCGCCCGTAAAGGCTGACTTGGAGCGGGTGGGGGAAGGGGGGCGTGTATCTGGGCAGGCAACACTGTGCACCCTGGGTGCCCGGGAAGTGTCATGACAGGTGGCCTCCGACCATCTCTCCAGGCCGTCTCCATCCTCACCTCCTGCTGCTTCCTGAAGCTCTTGTGACCACGCGCTAGACACCCCCACCTCCTCCCCAAATCTGCTCCTCAGGACAGGCTTAGGGATGCCGGGCCCTCTGTGGTGCAGCGGCCCACCCGCTAACTGGTTCCGGTGCACTTCCTGAGTCCTTGCGGGCCTGAGGGGTCCACCGGCAACACAGTATCGGGGCTGAACGCCTCGGAGTAACCGCCACCACCCACGAGGCCTTGTGTAAGTGACTAGCCGGCAGGGGGCCCCCTCGGGCGAGCAGTCTGGATACTTGCCCAAAGGCAGCTGTGGTTGTTTTGGAGTGAGAGGTTGTTTACCTTTTCAGCTAAAGTGGGGTAGGGGCTCAGCCTCCCGGCCCTGGGTCCTGGTGTGCTTTTAAAGGGCCATGCGTTTGGGTCTTTAGAAATATCGCTAAAGGCTGCACTTCTGCGGCTCAGAGCCAGCGCAAGGTGAGCATGAAACCGTCCCAACAGCCAGTCCACCCCATTCTCCTCCCTCCCTCCCGCTGCTCACAGCCTCGTTTGTTTTTGTCTTCCACTTGTTTCTTTGTTTTTTTTCTTTATTTTGGGGGTCTCTTCTTTTTTCCTTTTCTGTATTTTTATTTTTTCTTTTTTTATTTTTCTTATGTACCAAACCTTTTCAAGTGTTTTGTGTATTGAGATGCACAAAGTTTCAGTTCAGTTTCTTTTTTCTTTATTCAGCGATAGCGGACACAGGACGTTATATCAGGATTAGGCGTACAAGGTCATGACCCCACATTTGCATACATTGGAAAGTGATCGCCACAGGAAGTCTCGTTATCTGTCACCTCACAGTCCCAACTTGCTTTCCCTGTGAAAAGAACTTTTAAGGCCCTCTCTCTCAGCACCTTTCAAATATACAATTCAGTTCGGAGTTTCTGTATCAAACTGGACTACCCCGCACCGACTTGGCCTTATGGATTGCCACCAGAAAGATCTGTGGCGGACCTCCCTGGGGGCTGGACTTGCAGGTGGCCCCTTGCCTCTCCAGGGTGTCCCCATTGCCCACTCCAGCATGGGGGTCGCCCTCTGCTGCGCAATGTCGGTGGGACCCCTGCGGTGGCCCCCCAGACCCGGCGACAGCAGAGGTCCAGCCAGCACTTTGTCACGTGGGTGCACCAGGCGCTGGGCAGCGCCCAGGCTGCTCCACGGGCTCTTGACAGGTGGCCCGGCACCAGGCACTCGGGCTGTTTGCATCGGAACATTAGCTTGTGCTACCATGCGCCAGGGGTGCGGCCCAGAACGTCCCCCTCATCAGGGGACGAGGTGGGTCACAGTGCGCAGCACCGGAGAGCCGGCTCCACAGGCGCACTAGCGTTTGCCAGGAACCACGTGTTCCCGGCAATGGCGCCCCCTACCGTCCGGTTAGACTCAGCGTCCCCGTGCCGCCCCGTCTCCCTGTTCTCCCTCTCGGGGCAATGCCTGGCATTTTCACCCGCTAACATACTTGGGCAGGGTTGCCGCTCCTGTATCCCAGCTATTAACTAACGCAGCGGGACCTCATGAAAATCGTGGCCAATTCTCCCAACAGTCGGCAGCTGGGGCGGCGCTGGCGGTGGGGAAGCGCACCTGAACTCGAACACCCTGTGGAGTGACGGGCACGCATTCGCCCTGCCGGGAGAGCAATGCTCCGAGGTCCAGGAGGACTCGGGTGCTTCTGTGGGAGCTGGCGCTTTGTGGTGGGCAGGCGGCCCGCAGGTGGTGCGACTCCCAGACAGCGCCGTCCACCTGGCGGAGCCCGTCAGCCAGCCGTTTGCAGCTAAAATGCTTCCCCTGAGGCCAGTTGCGGGCGGGGGGTCCCTTCCACTCTGTGTGTGAGGCCAGTTGTCAAGACTTGGTGAAATTAACGCAGGTGCTGCCGGGGTGCGGGAGGGGGAGCTGGTTCACCAGCAGACCGCAAGGGAAGCTGGGGCAGAGGGGTTTCTCACTCACAGGCTGGAGGAGATGCACAGCACGTCCACACGGGCCACTTGGGAAGGGCAAGGCAGAGTACAGACCTCAAAAGGTAGGCTGGGGGGCTTGTGGGGAGCACAAGCCTTTGCTAGGGCCCCTGGGTGGAGCGCTTCGGGGTTCCCTGGCTAGAGCCACAGAGGTCCATTCAAAGCAAGGGAGCCTGGTCTTCTTGGTACTTTCCACGGGGCTCCTAGCCAAGGGGTGCACGAGCCATTCGGGCGCTGGAAGCAGAGGAGACCGGTGGTCCCAAGGGCTGCAGGGAGCAGTAGCAGGGACTGAAACTGGCGAGTGACTGCGCGGCCGCCCTCCAGGTCGTGCACGTGCAGGGGGGGACTAGCGGCTGTTTGAGGCAGCCGGCCGGCCGGACAGTGGATCCGAGGCTGCCACTCCACAGGGTGACTTAGCCAAACGGTGGACAGGTGTGCACGTAGAGATGTGGGTTTGTCTTTATTCGTCCAGCTGGGCACTTACTCTGCTGCTCAACTCTGTGAGTGCCTGTCCTTTATCAAGTCTGAGCCGTTATCTCTTTGCCCGTTCACCTTTCTTCACGTTCTCGGTTTCGTCTTCCGGGAGCTCCTGTGGCTCTGGTCGTCCCAGTCTCGCTCGCCCGTGTGCTCGCATTCCCGTCCCTCTGTGCCGACTTGCTCGGCCTGTTTTCCCGTCTGTGCTCTCACTCCGGCTGAGGACGATCTACCGCTGGACACGTTCGTGGGGTATTTTAACTTTCAGGGACTCTGTTTTCCGTGTCTAGATGCTCCAGGGAGTTCTCTCCCAAATACATGCAGTTGTCTCGCTTGTATCTCGCCTTGCTCTCATAGGGTTTTAAGTTTCTGTCTTCAATCCTTTTTAAAGATAGTTATTTTAATAGAATTCTGTTTTTTCTAGTACCTAAAATACTTGGGATTCTTATTTTGTTAAAACGTCTGTTGACGTTCACGGTGGATTGGTTCCTCATGTTTTGTAATTCTGCATTACGGCCCTGGCTGGTGTAGCTCAGTGGATTGAGTGCGGGCTGCGAACCAAAGGGTCTCCGGTTCGAGTCCCAATCAGGGCGCATGCCTGGGTTGCAGGCCAGGTCTCCAGTAAGGGCTATACGAGAGGCAACCACACATTGATATCTCTCTCCCTCTCTTTCTCTTTCCCTTCCCCTCTCTCTAAAAATAAATAAATACAATCTTTTAAAAAAGTCTCTGCATTATGAACTCATTTTGAGTTC